GGGAGTCTGGATATTACTTGAGAAACATTGGCTTTACCATAATTGGAGTTCTTGTTCTTAAGAGGGCTCTTTGGGACTGGATGCCCCTTCCTGGAGAAACTCATTGCATCTGATATGTGAGTGTGTGGGGGGGTATGTGTGTACCTATGTGTGCATGTGTGTACATATTCATGTGTGTGTGTGGTGTGCATGTACATACATATTTGGTGTGTGTGAGGTGTGTGTGCACGTAGTGTGTGTGTTTTCAGAAATATGGGTGCGGTTGTGTTACTACTTCGTGTATTGTGAGTACCATCTCCCACGAGGTTTCTCTTTCTCTTCTTTTTCCTTCAAAGGGAAGGCATCGGATGCGTGTCCCACTTTTCTCCAGGACCGGGAGACTACTGTTCCTGTGTGTCTAGCAGAGCAGCGGCGTCCTCCCTGTCTCTATCTCTGAGTGGCCTGGTTCTCTGCTTCCCTGAGAGCAGAGGCCTGTGTGGGATCCCGCCAGACCTGGGGAGAGCAGCGTGGCCCTTGCGTGGGCGCCACTCGGTGACTATGCAGAGCCACGTGGCCTCTTCGGGACTGGAGAGAGGATGAAAATGGAATGAGGACTAACAAATGGCGCTGGAACAGCTGGCTGACCATTTGGGGACAACTTAAACGGAATCTCCACCTCATTCTTTATACCAAAGTAAATCCCACATGGTTCAAAGATTTAAACATAAAAACTAAAACGAAAATCATAAAAATTATACAAGAAAATATGGGCGAATTTGTTCCTAATCAGAGGCTGGGGAAGGCCTTAAGGAATAGAGCACAGAACTCAGCAGCTGTGGAGGAGCAGATGGACAAAGTAGGTCTCATACCAATTAGAAACTTCTGCAGACAAAAATACCAATAAGCAAAATAAAAATAACAAACTGAAAAAAAGGTATTTGCCACACATGTGCCACACAAAGGCCTATTTTCCTTACTTTGCAGAAGGTGCACAGAAATCAATACAAAAGGTGAACAATCCCATAGAAAAATGGGTAAAGGATGTGGACAGGCTATTCACAGAAAAAGACAAATGGCCAAAAATCCTGCAAAGATTCTAATCCTCATTCATAATTAAATAGGAAATTAAATAACCAGGCACCTTTTTACACTTACCAAGTTTTTAGAAACT